ATCTATTATTTTATTCTCTTAGTACTCTGATTTGGAGAAATCCCAATACGCAACTTTATCGAAGTTTGTATTTTTCTATTTCAATTTACTGGTCACTGTTCTGCTGTTAAACATGTTGATCGCCATGATGGCCAGTACCTATCAAAGTGTAAGTCATTCTAAGGGTCATTATCAGCCTGCATGTGCTCTAATCCGACTAACTTTTTTTGATTGTGATTGCGATTATGATTATGATTATGATTCTATGATTATTTTAAAGATTATGATTATGATTATTTTAATGATTATGATTATGATTATTTTAATGATTATGATTATGATTATTTTACTACAGATTGCTGATCATTCTGAAAAGGAATGGCGAAGACAGGTAATGACATTATTACTCTATTATTATAGTCATCGTATTTGTCCTCTGTGATAATTTGTTTTCATATTTTTTCTTAACGTTTTTATTTTGTAATATGACTTCAAATTATTTATAAGAAGTGCTTGAAGGTGCATAGTCAACCAGCATTCAATGTGGTCGTATTTTAGACTTTTCATACATGCAAATTGAGGTAACTTCAAATATCCATTCACAATCCGTTTCCATCCCTCAGTTTTAAGGTCAAATCTTACCACATCTCCATTTATAGAGTATAAAGGGATGATAAAGAGCTAGTTTTCTTTATATTACAATATATTTTTATTGTCAAACATAAGCAACAGCTAGCAAGGGATGATGGATGACCATGGTCTTTTGCAATCATTCCATAAGGTGGTCCGACATTCATCATTCTTCTGCGTTTTTTGTGATTTTGGCAACCGTACTTTGATGTTTGAATGATGTTGAATCAAACTTTTATTTAATTTTCCGCTTGTTTTAAAATGACTTGTTGTTCATTTCTAGTGGGCTGAGATAATTTTAGTCATCGAAAAGTCAATCTCTCCTGAGGACCTGATGCGTTACCAAGACGACTACTCGGTCAGCATGACGAACAACGGCTCAAAAGAACGGTCGCGAGGAATTATGGTTATCAAAAGGACAGACAGACGAACTAAAGCTGACACTAGGAAAGCAGCTATTGAGAACTGGCGGGTAAGAATCACCTTAACAAACATATAAACCTCCCAGCAACCTTAACTGGTCACGTGCATCCAAGATCCTTTGCGGTCGCTTCTTCTGTTTTACAAGTAATCTCTTGTTGAAAGGTGCTTTCTGTTTGGTTCAAAATCAAAGATGGCAATTTTTCGTATGTGAGAGAGAATCGCGCAAAGGATCTTGGGTGCTCGTGGGCCTTTTAAAACGAGGATTCTTTTATACGGACTAGGGTTGATAGAATCCTTGAAATTCATGGAAATGGGAAGGTAGGAGTAGGAATGTGAACAAAGTGATTTAGTTCTCAAGAGATCAAAAATCGTTTGTTTTGTACTACAGCTAGATGCATTCTATCCTCAGTAATGCCGTTGTACAAAGGCTAGACTTTTAGGCTAATAAACTAAACCAAACAGGACTTTTAGTAAGAATTAAACAAAACAAGTTAACTAATGTTTCGATTTCTGATTTTGAAAGCATCGGTTGAATGTATAATTACGCTTATTTTGTAATATGGCACCAA